GTTCTTCTTGAAGAAGGTGGCCATGAACGTGGAGAAAACATCCAGGACCACATGGCTCCAGATGGCTTCTACTCCTCCGAAGTCTTGGCTCAAGCACTCCAGTCGAAGGCCATGGACACGTACGATCGGGTCATGTGGGAGATGCCTTTGAGACCCGTGACGACCGTCCGCGAGCTGCAGGGAGCTGTAGGGGCTGTGCAGAATCGGGACAACCTGCACTGGGTGGCTTACCGGTTCTTCAACAACGGCATCCTCCGTTTGGATTCTTTGGCACGCGCGCCGGAGCACATCCCAGTGGACACCTTCTTGGCCGACCTCCGGCACCACCCCCGCACCTACTGCATCCGTGAAGTTTAGACCGTCTGTACAAAGCCATGGAGAGCTTCGCCACCGTGCGGACTGTATGTGTTGCCTGCAAGTGAAAATCTGCATCTTTAGTCGTGTGCATCCACTGCAAGATCTACAATTGCATCCATTGCAAGATGTGCAACGTTTCCCCAAGGCCCGATTGCAGATCCCATGTATGTTTCGCAGCCATCTCAAGCTTTTCAAACAGATCGAATCTCCAGCCATGGATCCCAAGACCGTTACAAGCAGCTCCATCGCAGCGATACCCGATACAAACAAAGCCAGCGCCTTACACTGCTAAAGAGATTCGAATGCTGTGCGTATGTGGCGCATCGTCGTGCGTTTTCTAGGTAGAAGAGGGACAACGTGGCAGGGCAGTGCAAACGGGCCCAGGCAGGGCAGGGCAGGGCAGGGCAGGGAAGCAGGGCAAGAGAGGGCAGGGCACAGGCAGCCCAAAAAAATGCTTACACAAAGCCGCCAGAACTCCGTACCCAAACCCAACACAACTTCCATCGTGGCAGGGCAATGCAAACGGGTCGGGGCAGGGCAGGGCAGGGCAGGGCACAGCACCACGCAGGGCACAGCAGGGCACAGCAGGGGCAGGGCAGGGCTCGAGGCAGCACAAAACGAAGCCACCTGCACAAAAAAAGCAAAAGCAAAAACCCTGTCAAAACCCGCCAAAACCCGCTCGAAACCCACTCGAAACCCGCTCGAAACCCGCCCGAAACCCGCCCGAAACCCGCCAAAACTCCGGACCCAAACCCTACACATCTTCTATAAACCCTAAACCCTAAACCCTAAACCCTAAACCCTAAACCCTAAACCCTAAACCCTAAACCCTAAACCCTAAACCCTAAACCCTAAACTCAAAAGCTTAAGCCTGAATGCTCAGCTTAAGCCTTATTACGTACAGGAGCGTACTACACCGTGTTCGGGAAGGAAACGAAAGACTTTCTAGTCTTTACGAAGTAAATGGTAATTATAGACATAATTACTACCATTTACTAGTAAGCTCATAACTGATTGCAAGTATTCCGTAATATATAGAGTTATATAGCACCCTAAACCGGTGTTTCTAACCATCGGATCCCTCGAGTGCTCGTGTGTGCCCAAGCTGGTCGGGGCCACATTCTGCAGCAAAACAGGGCCGTTCTTTTCGTGTGCGTGCTCTAAACCATCCGGTGTCCAGGTGTGCCCAAGTCAAGCCCACGTTCTGCAGCAAAACAGGGCCGTTCTTTTCATGCGGCTGCTCTTAGCCACCTACCTCATCCCTAAACCGGTTTTCTAAGTTTAAGTCGTGCTTGTCCTTTTCGGTAAAGGACAACCAGCTCTAAAATCAAGATTTTGTTCATTTAGTCGCGCTTGTCCTCTTCGGAAAAGGACAACCAGCTCTAAATTTTAGATTTTCCACATTCCGTCTCCAGAATTCTGGAAAATTGCTGGTGATTTTGAAGTGACAAATTCTGTTCATAAAATGTGCTTTTTAGACTACGCCGACTGCGAATCTCGAGGTGCCCCCCTTTCCTTTCGTGTGGCTGCTCTTAGCCGCCTTCCCCATCCCTAAACTCCGTCCCTCGGAGCTCGGATCAAAAAACGGACCCTCGAGTGCTCGTGTGTGCCCAAGCAGGTCGGGGTCACATTCTGCAGCAAAACAGGGCCGTTCTTTTCGTGTGCCGGCTCTAGATTTTCTACATTTAGTCGCGCTTGTCCTTTTCGGAAAAGGACAACCAGCTCTAAAATCTAGATTTTCTACATTTAGTCGCGCTTGTCCTTTTCGGAAAAGGACAACCAGCTTTAAAATCTAGATTTTCTACATTTAGTCGCGCTTGTTTTCTTCGGAAAAGGAGAACCAGCTCTAAATCCTAGATTTTCTGCATTTAGTCGTGCTTGTCCTTTTCGGAAAAGGACAGCCAGCTCTTAAATTCAGATTTCTACGTTTAGTCGCGCTTGTCCTTTTCGGAAAAGGACAACCAGCTCTAAATTCAGATTTTCCACATTCTGCTTCCAAATTTGGAAAATTGCTTATGATTTTCAAGTGATAAATTCTGTTCATAAAATGTGCCTTTTAGACTACGCCGGCTGCGAATCTCGAGGTGCCCCCCTTTCTTTTCGTGTGGCTGCTCTTAGCCGCCTTCCCCATCCCTAAACTCCGTCCCTCGGAGCTCGGATCAAAAAATGGACCCTCGAGTGCTCGTGTGTGCCCAAGCAGGTCGGGGCCACATTCTGCAGCAAAACAAGGCCGTTCTTTTCGTGTGCCGACTCTAAAATCTAGATTTTCTACATTTAGTCGCGCTTGTCCTTTTCGGAAAAGGACAACCAGCTCTAAAATCTAGATTTTCTACATTTAGTCGCGCTTGTCCTTTTCGGAAAAGGACAACCAGCTCTAAATTTTAGATTTTACACATTCTGCTTCCAGAATTCTGAAAAATTGCTGGTGATTTTCAAGTGATAAATTCTGTTCATAAAATGTGCCTTTTAGACTACGCCGGCTGCGAATCTCGAGGTGCTCCCCTTTCTTTTCGTGTGGCTGCTCTTAGCCGCCTTCCCCATCCCTAAACTCCGTCCCTCGGAGCTCGGATCAAAAAATGGACCCTCGAGTGCTCGTGTGTGCCCAAGCAGGTCGGGGTCACATTCTGCAGCAAAACAGGGCCGTTCTTTTCGTGTGGCTGCTCTTAGCCGCCTTCCCAATCCCTAAACTCCGTCCCTCGGAGCTCGGATCAAAAAATGGACCCTCGAGTGCTCGTGTGTGCCCAAGCGGGTCGGGGCCACATTCTGCAGCAAAACAGGGCCATTCTTTTCGTGTGGCTGCTCTTAGCCGCCTTCCCTATCCCTAAACTCCGTCCCTCGGAGCTCGGATCAGAAAATGGACCCTCGAGTGCTCGTGTGTGCCCAAGCAGGTCGGGGCCACATTCTGCAGCAAAACAGGGCCGTTCTTTTCGTGTGCCTGCTCTAAACCATCCGGTGCCTATGGGTGCCCAAAGCGGCCGAAGCCACATTCTGCAGCAAAACACGGCCTTTCTTTTCGTGTGGCTGCTTTAAACTTTGCTTGACCTTCGGCGATTGGAAACCTGGTGCTGATTTTGGTGTACCAAATTCTGTCTGCAGCAAAACAGGCCCGTTCTTTTCGTGTGCTGCCACTCATTCATGCGGTGTCTATGTGGGCCCAAAATAGTCAAGGCTACATTCTGCAGCAAAACAGGGCCGTTCTTTTCGTGTGCTGCCACTAATCTACCCCTCGGTCTAGGGCTTACAAGGAAGGCATGACCGGTTTTGCCAGTGTGCCATCGCCATAAGACGGTCAGCATGCCTTTGCCTGCACTCCTGCCGTTACACGTTTAGGCAAGTGCATATATATTGGGAAGTGCACTGAAGATTTCAGGCCACGAAATGATCAACAGCTTCCTGCTGCTCCCTGTTGCTCCACGCTTGTTTCTGCTCTTTCTAGCAAATCAACTGCTGTGACATAGTGTCCCGCTGCATTCATTTTCGCTAAAAACTTCATGCATACACCCACAACATGCCTCGTCTAGGAATCTCAACCGTGGAAAGGTCAACAACTTCGTGCTTTCGCTTTACTTGTATCTGCTTCAGCTGGCAAAGCAACTGCTCTGACAACTCTGGCTGTTTCACTACATGTCATGTTGGCCAATGACATCATGCATACACCCACGACATACCCCGGCTAGGAGCTTGAGCCGCGAAAGTGTGGTCGCAGCTCTCGATGCTGCAAATACGGAACTTGCTCCCGGCATGACTCGGCATCGCCCTTCCCATATTTTTTTCATGCCGCTGTGAGCACTGCGCGGTTTTCCACCAGGGGTCAACAGCTTCCTGCTGCTCCCTGCTGCTCCACGCTTGTTTCTGCTCTTTCTAGCAAATCAACTGCTGTGACATAGTGTCCCGCTGCATTCATTTTCGCTAATAACTTCATGCACACACCCACAACATGCCTCGGCTAGGAATCTCAACCGTGGAAAGGTCAACAACTTCGTGCTTTCGCTTTACTTATATCTGCTTCAGCTGGCAAAGCAACTGCTCTGACAACTCTGTCTGTTTCGCTACATGTCATGTTGGCCAATGACTTCATCCATACACCCACGACATACCCCGGCTAGGAGTTTGAGCCGCGAAAGTGTGGTCGCAGCTCTCGATGCCGCAAATACGGAACTTGCTCCCGGCATGACTCGGCATCGCCCTTCCCATATTTTTTTCATGCCGCTGTGAGCACTGCGCTTCCTGCTGCTCCCTGCTGCTCTACGCTTGTTTCTGCTCTTTCTAGCAAATCAACTGCTGTGACATAGTGTCCCGCTGCATTCATTTTCGCTAATAACTTCATGCATACACCCACAACATGCCTCGGCTAGGAATCTCAACCGTGGAAAGGTCAACAACTTCGTGCTTTCGCTTTACTTGTATCTGCTTCAGCTGGCAAAGCAACTGCTCTGACAACTCTGTCTGTTTCGCTACATGTCATGTTGGCAAATGACTTCATGCATACACCCGCGACATACCCCGGCTAGGAGTTTGAGCCGCGAAAGTGTGGTCGCAACTCTCGATGCCGCAAATACGAGCTTGCTCCCGGCATGACTCGGCATCGCTCTCCCATATTTTTTTCATGCCGCTGTGAGCACTGCGCGGTTCCACTAGGAGCTTCACGCCGATGCCGGGCAGAAATGGGTCGGCTTCAACTGACCCAGGAAACACCAGTCGGTGTCTTTTCTGACGCGGCTCAGTGCGACGTACCCAGCACCCTGAATGCCCTCGATATCCAGCCACAGGGCCATGTAGTCGAGTGTGGCCCCCTGCAGCTTGTGCAAGGTTGTCGCATACCCCAATCGCAGGGGGTAGAATGTTGCCCTGGCTGTGCTGCCGTCAGCGAGCAGCTGGGTTTCAGTGTGCGGGCACACCAGGACGACTCTGTTCGTAGCCGTCCTGACCCTGAGGCCATGTCGGCCGACAGCTTCCAGATGACAAAACATCCCATTCACGTGGTCGCCCTCCTTATTTACATTGCGAGTCAACATCAGCTTCATGCCGATGTGCAAGGCGGTGTAAGAGCATTCATACTTGACGTGCTCACCGCGAAGTTTGTTGTCAATGTTGGCATCTGGGTCAGTCGGGACGATGCGTAGTGGCTCATGGTCTGCAAATTGAATTTCGACCGCCATCTGGTTCAGCTCTTCGGCAGCCCTTCGAGTAAAGGTTACCATGGTAACTTCGCGCTGCGATTCCAGAACTCCCGCTACCTCTTCGCGGGTTGGGCGGTCACCCTTGCTGATGGAGTGTCCGCGTAATATTGCTTGCAGCTGCGAGTCGGTAGGCTGGCGGTCTCGCAGCAGTTGCAACTTGCGAGTCAATTCCGGACAAGTGCTGCGTTGCACTTGGCGCAATTCCCACCAGCGAACATGTTTGCACAGAGGACTGGCTCTCGCGTTGCTGTTGTCTATAGAGGGCAATTGCTTGAAGTCACCGAGGAAAACAAGACACGGTCGCTGGTCTGCTGCTAGCCACAGTCGCATAATTCGCTCGAATTGTGTTCTTGTCAACTGGCCAATCTCCTCCACAACCACGAAATCGTAGTTTGCGAGCAAGTCCAGCGTCAAATGCTCTTCGACATGGAGTGCGAAAAACCCGTGCACTGTATCGATGTGGGCTCCTGTAAATGACCGTCGGTAACTGGCTGCCAGCAAACCTGTTGGACACGCAATGGCCACATTTGCCCTGTCTTGCACTTTCTTAATGACCGTTTTGATTGCAACACTTTTGCCCGTGCCAGCTGCTCCGAGACATCCGATGGCGCGCGCATGGCTTGCTCGTTGCACGTGCTCGTTCCACTGTTCAGCTGCGACCGTCCCGCCGCATCGTTTCTCCGCGGCAGCTATCACAAGGTTCGTCATGGCTTGCACCAGATGTCGCTGTTCGGCAGACAACTCGCTCTCGTTGGGTAGAGCGGCCACATGCTGCTCGCAGGTAGTTGCGACCAGTGGCTCATAGTTTCCAGCCCTTATTTGTTGAATCATCTCTGTTTTCGCCTTCACGCTGGAGATCACGTTCTCGATGTGGTAATCTTTCCAAGCTTCTGCTTCCATTTCTTGTCGGATGGCAGGCATGGACTGCCAGTATCTCGGACAGTGGTGCAAACACAACGCAAGGCCTTGCAGGTCCTCAGGGATATTATCCACAGTGGCATGCCAGAGATCATTCAAGCTACGAAAGGGTACGTTCAGCAACATCCATTGCTTGAAAAAGTTGTCGTTGCTCCGAGCGTAGAGAACTGTTGCAACCATGGTGCTCCCTTGCGTCGAGCACTTGTTGGCAAACTCGTTCAGCGTACAACTCGGCTTCTCGTCCTCATATCTTCGGCGAATGTCCCCGCTAATCTCGCCCTTGGAATTGCTTCGACGCAAAAATTCCAACAATGGCATAGTGTCTGCTCGCCACATGCTCTTCTCGTACAGTTCAATTTCCCGAGGTAATCGGCTGCTGCTCCATGGCACCGGCACCACGAAACGACGAATGTGGCCTGTGTGAGTGCACTGCGGCAGGATGTGGCTTGCAAGTTGAAGGACCATTTCCATCTCAAGTGGGTGGTACTGCCACAGGATGCTGTGCGCGATATCGCGCTTGTCGAGTTGCCCTTCCAGAGTCCATAATTGCGAAAATTTGGAGATGTACCCGGCTGCATATCTCAAAATCATGCCCCGGCCGTCACTGGCCTGAACATCCATATGGCATCTCAGACACCCGAGCACGTCGGGCATGTAAGCTCTCACTTTTGCTTCCCAAGCATCGCGCGGATGTTTCAGCTGCAGTGTCTGGGAAACGATGTCCCAAATCGAAGCTTCTTCTCGTCGAGGCCATGCGCTGTCATGGCGATCCAACTGGGATCCTCGTACTAGGTCGCCGAGAGGCGTACCCGCTGGGGGAAGCTCCGCTGATATGAGGCTTGGCAACCTTCCCTTGTCCGCGTCCTCTCGCAACCAAACAAGGACGTGGACGTGCACGGTACCTCGACCGTGATAGAACTGTGTTCTGAGCTTTTGCTGCCAGGATTGTCTCTTGCCGTCTTGGAACTCCAGGCGTGCAAAATAAACAACCTTCTCCCCGAGCAGACCCTGCATTTCGTCTGTAGAATGCTGTCCCGTGAGCAGCTCGCGAACGACTTCAGTCAAGAGGTGCGCCAGGTGCAAGCTTTCGGCAACAGGAAGATTCGTTCTGGATCTTGCAGCCTTGCGCATCTCGTCGAGCAACCACGTGTGATATGGAGCTGTCCATTCGTATGGTGCTATGGTCAGAAAAAGAGTCGGAGGACCCAATTGCTTTTGCAAGTCGATTAGTGCAGCGTGTTTGGTTCGCCAGTATTCTGGCGCGAAAGACTTCCCCGCCAGAGCCGCGCGAAGGCTCAAGCCGCTTGCACGCTCCGCACTGCCAATGCCCGTGTAGAGCCAGAGATCATACACGAATTGTGTCAATTCAAAATCGACGCCATAGCCTATGAGCGGCGACAAAACCTTGGTGATATAGGAGGCCTTGAAGCTCTGATGCTTCTGCACGTCTTCTTCGTTCTCGTCGCTGTCGCTCCGGTCATCTGCAGTTCTCTTGAGTCGACGGCTGTCTCGCGATCTTACAAAGGTTTCACACATGGCGGTCTTCCAATACAAATGCGGCCATGCCGCGCACTCGATGCCCACCGTCTCCATGAACCGCAGTGGCATGAGCTCTGTTAGAGGTGTTTCTTCTGCATCTTCCTGCTTCTGCGAAGCCATCACATACGCTTCCTGCAGCTCATTGAACTTCTTGTATGCCGACTCTTCGTTTTCGAGGAGCCACTCGCTTGCGACTCGGGCGTGCTTGCGTTCGCGCTCCACCTCGAGACTGGCAATGCGTTCTGTCAGTGTAGCACTCTTCCAACGAAATCGAATCGGAGCAGTATGCACCCAATACCCGGAGGGCGAGCGTTCGCCGGGCCCGCAGGAGATGCTAAACGGCCGGAGACACTCCAGCACGACCCGAGACATGCCTCTGAGTGCCAGCGGCACGTCGCCGGGGGTTGGCGCGACATATCCTGCGCCTTTCGCACAATGGTTGCAGCGAGCATTACTGCGACGACTTCCTGCGGGGAACCGCTGCGTTCGCAGGCGCTTGCAGCCAGGGCATGTTGTCCAACTTTCCTCTTCGGCCCACTTTTGGAAGGTCTTTGCCGCCGTGCTCTGCCAATCACCATGTTGCTTCTCGTCCTCATAAAGCGTCGGAAACTTGCGACGGGCCCTCTTGGCATCGTTGTCTCTGGCTTTGGCAGCTTCTTGTACTTCTGTGTCAGACAACGCCACATGACAAATACGATCTTCCAGGCTCACAACCGACGAAAATGCCTCCAGAGTCTCCTGCACGCGCGTTCGTGCCAGGCGGTGCACCTCCGCAGCCTTTGCCTTCAAATGGTTCAAGGCTCTCGTGATAGTCGAAGGAGCGACGCGATGAACTTCTCGCAGTGCCGTGGCATCGCAGAACATGCATCTGCCGGTTTTACTGTGCTTAGAAGGTCCAGCGGGTCGCCCACTGCCATCTCGATGGAAGCGACAAGCTTCTTCATGCCTGCCAGGACACAACTTAGACTGTTGAACAACTGCCTCTGTGTTGCATGCCTCCGGGCGAGTTTCCTCGCGATAGACCACCATGCCGATCGCACCCAGCGGGTGCGTATACTCGTGCGGCCGTCGCGTGCGGCACACTTGGCTTAGACGCAAACCGTAGGTTCTCTTGTAAGGTCGCGCAGTCCTGTCCCAGCGATGCTGTGGCAGAAGTCTCTTCCATTCCTCGTCTGTGAGAATCTGCTCTGCTCCGTCCATGTAAGCGCGACCAAGGATGAGCTCTTTGTGACCGAGCCAAACATGTTGTGCACGCAGAGGTTTATCTCGAATTTCCAGAGTTTTCGTTCCCGCCAAAATCCACCCGAGGTAAGGCTGTCTCAACACCAAGATTCTGTCACCGTGCTTCGGCTTTTCGTCCGTCCAACCGATGTTGCTCTCACTGCGCTGCCTCTTGGCCCGCCGCTGCTCCTCGTAGTCCTGCCACCATGCCTCTGCTTCCTCTGCGAAGTCTTTGGACGTGGCCTCTATCTCGCGGTCTGCCAGCCACGTTTGCCATGCTTCGTCTTCCTGTGCTTTTCGTTGTTGGGCTCGATACAGCGATGATGTCTTCAAGGCACTACGTCTCTCAGGGACACTCTTGTCGGGCAATGGTTCTGCGTGCTCTTCTTGACTTCCTTCGTCCAGAAGCTGCGAATAAAACCTGGAAACTTCAGCCGACTCTGCTTCCGAGCTGCTGTCGAGGAGTAGAGGCTGAGATGTCAGAGGGTCCTGGGACACGGCCTCTGCAACCTTCGCTTTCGAGATTCTTTTGACTTTGCTCATGTCGCCACAACCCACATCTGCCGTTCTGCGGGTCGGCGTCGCGTTCCCAGACGCTCTCGAAACTAACGCCGCTGTGCTCTGGTGCTGCTCCGTTGCATGCGAATCTTCTCGAATTTCGTCTGGATTGAATACAACCGCCTCCCCTGGCTCCTCCGGGTCGAAGTCCCTTGCTTTGCGCACGCCGCTGACATTCGGGTCTATCGCGGCAGAGCCGGCTTTGTGCTTTCCTGGCTTCGGCTTCTTCTTCTGCGGCTTACTGCTCTCGGACTCCTCATGTTCTCGGAGTGACGAAGATCTTTTCTTCTTTGTTCTGGAGCCGCTCGGCTTTTCATCGGCAGGCAACCATGACTGCAACAGTTCGAAGTGACCGGAGGAATGTCCATCTGCATCCGGCTCCGTCACTCCGTGTAGTACGTGAACTGTAATAGGACCCTGCCCGAATAACATCTTCTCCTCGGAAAACAAAGAGGTCACCATCAGACTCCCCCCCAACTCCTCCGCAAAAAAGTGCAGCGCCGCCTCGCTCGGCCAGTCGCCACTCTGCAATGCTGTTGCAATGTCTGCTCTGGCTGCTCTGCGAGCTCGCACGGCCACGGCCGCGCGAAAGTTCAAGGCAGCCGTGCGAAATCTTGAGGCTTCTCTTTCGTCCACAACAAATCCGCTTCGATCTCGGCGCATTTTTGCTAGATACCTCGGGTTCTGGGCGCCCACGCAGGCGTAGCTGAGGCAGAGACCATCCGGAGGCACAGGTTGTGGAGCCCCTTCTGGGAGCAGCGGCACTCCTGCGTGTCCGCGGTTAGCAATTTCATCTTCCGATGCGATCACACCCTCGCTGAGCGGGTCGTACGGAGCCGCCCTCGCCAAGTAATCCACTTGATCATTGCTGGCTTCGCTCGCCGCTGGTTCGCGGGATAACTGGAGCGCCTGCATGAGCTCCAAGAATCTTTCTGCGGCCGTCGCTGGAAAATTCAGCAAGTCGGGTATCTCGAAAATATGGTCCCACGAGAAGCTCTGTTCGAGCAGGGCCTGCACTGCTTGGCTGCTACGCTGTTCGGCCTCTGTGATGGCCTTCTTGTCTGGTTCCGCTCGCAGTTCCTCTTGGAACATACACATGAAAGCGTTGCCCAAGGGCGCCGCAGCGGGCACGATGCTCTCTGCTTCTGCTTCCGACAACTGTTTGCTTTCTGCGTTGGAGGACTTCGTCTTGCGCTGTTGTGCGCGCAATGCGGACCATGCTCGAGTCCACAGGACGATATCTAAGTGCTTTCGCCAGATATGAAGCTGATTGGCGTCAAGCACTTCCGCTGCTTGCCGTTCCATCCAGCTGACATTATCGCATCTTTCGAGTAATTGACCGAACACATTGTGCAATCGCTCGATAGCTTCGTCGGCTTGCTGCGCACTCACTCTGCCCAAAGACACCTCGGGCACCAGCTGGTAGACCTCTGTCAGCGTCGCTGTCGATTTGGCCAAAAGCTCCTGGCTGTGTAAAGCTATTACTACGGAATGGACAGAAGAAACCATTGGTCGTATGCGCCTTCACGGTCGAGGCCTCTGTGATTTCCGCAGCGGCGGTGTTGCCGCAAAGCGCCTCACGCTTTAAAGTTGATATTACAACCAAGAGCCAAGCGCACGCTGAGTGTGCGACGTGCTGCAGCCTGTTTCGCTGCCGTCGACTCATTGACCACGTGTTCACACTGCCTCATTAATGTACTTTTGCAACTATTCTATTCTGAGTTTCCAAGGACAGTGCCAAACGCAGTGCCCGGAATCAAGGCACGAGCCTTCGCCAGCGGTTTGCACAGTTGTCGCCGACTCCTTCACACCCGAGTTCGCGGCCGCTCGACTGCGATGTGGGCCTGAGTCTCCTGAACCGGATGCGTGCTGTATATGTGCGCTTTCATGCACTTGCTCACTGAGAAACGTGCGCTGCAGCACATAAGCCAAACTGAAAGGTTTCTCCTTGCAAACTTTACCAGCACACGCGTGCCATGTACGGAACTTCGATACTCGGGCCATTACCATGTCGAACTTGCTCGTCATATGGCCTATTTCAGCATATGCACTGGGCTCTCAATGCAGCACCTTCTGGGCCACCGACCCTGAATGACGTATGTGACATCGAACTTCTTGTCCTTTCGGGCTCAACCGTGCAACGACTCACAGACGAGCCAGGACTCAGCCTCGGCCGCATGCAGGACCCTGCCGCACTTGTCCATTTTCCCCCCTCGAGTTTCCCGTCGAACCGAACCTGGGCAGTGTCGCATGACAAGTTCTGCTCTTGTATATGTTCCAGTCACGGATAAGACTCTGGCCATGGCAGACCTGACGCGACGGGTATTGCGTTCGTCGCCTGTATCCAGCCTGGCCGGACATATTATCTCTTTTTTTGCACACACCGAACATCGGCCTCGCGGCTCTGCGTGTACGTATCCTCCTTTTGTTGCGCGCCTTGTCAAAACACAGGAAAGCTTTTAGGTTAAACGCGACAGTGCACTTGACGCTGCCACGATCAGCTAGCTAACGGGATGATTGCAAAAGTTGGAAAAAAGGTGTCGACAGCAGACCGTACTGTCACATTCCGCAGCGCACCTGACGCTGTCTTGGACACTGTGACCTGCACGGAATTCGCGGCAGTGAAAGTGAAGTATGTCTACTGAGCTTTGCCTCCGCTTGCTGTTCCGCACTCATGTGTTTCACTCGCCGTGTCATAAGCGAACGCGGCAGGGCTGCCATGTCTGTATGAACCGCTGCCTGCAAGCGCTCCAACTTGAAGGAAAACATCGGCGCCGATAGGTAGGCTATCGCCTCAACCCCGCCTGGATCGGCGTCTTCCTGGGGACCTGCGTCAGGCGCCGTGCGCGAGCAACTATGATCCAAGCTAGACCAGTGCCTTGAACCCGACTCTTGCATGCATGTGGTGGTGGCGAACCTCAGTGGTGCAGTTTCTCTAGTCGGTTAAACGAGGCGCCGCCCATGCCTTCTTCGGGGCTGTGCGTCTTGGTGCAGAGGCCTGCGTCGAGGTTTTTCTAACGATACCTGACTTAACCACGGAAATTGAACGAGCCAAGGTCAACCTCAAACCTTGACAGCGCCTTGGGCGGATGCTCCACGCCAGCCTGCGTATCAGAAGTGTCGTGCATGTCATGCTTTCTTCGCCGTTGGCCTGAAGCCAGGCCAGATAAGCCGAAACCTCGGCACTTGCTATCTGTTTCTATACATTCCGGGATCAAGCCCCTGGCAGCCGCGGTTTCGATTCCGTCCTCTCCGAGATTTGAGAAGCGACAAGCAAGGTGCAAATTGCGACTCCTCGCAGAAAAGGCCCCACTCGAAAGCCTCGAACGGACTGCATTCGACCTGCTGACGGACTTTTTCTGAGGTGCTTGCGAAGTCGAGGTCTGGCTCTTCATCGTCGACCTTCGTTAAACGAGGGACTTGATCGACCATGACGAGCGAGCCTCGTGTTCTCAAATTTCAGGAGCCAGCGACTTCGAAGGTCCATTCCTCTTCGACCTGAATTGCAGTGCTGCGTCTGCAAGCGTAGGACGACTCCGAAACTTCGTGCCGCGCGAGTGGGTTCTTGCCGATCTCCTGAGCAACACTCCGTTTGGATTGTCCAACACCTGTCGGTGTCAATAGTCCTTCTTCTTCCAGCGTCCTAGAAGCAGGCATACCTAGACAAGCGGCACTAACAGCGAATCTCCATAGTCACACTAACCGGCAAGATGCTGCGATGGCAATTGCGAAAAGCAGTCGCGCCCACGGCGGCGCGCCGTAGAGCGCCTGGGCCAACAACAGGACATATACAAAATAAGCCTCACTGCTTCAAGTCCGCGGCCATACACAAGATAGCGACGATCAGCGCCGTCATCCTCCCTGCTCCTGACGAGCTCGTCCATATAATTTGCTTCTCGTGTCTCTGCTTCATGTCCTCGTTTCGAAGCCATTTCAAAACGAAGTGCTCCGGAGGTTTGCAAAAGTCGCTGACCGAAACGGCTGCGTGGTCGCGTGTCGGCAACATGCAAAGAACCGACCCGTGGCTGGTGCTGCTCCTTTTTTTCTCTACTAGCGCAGTATCCAGGCGCTAGGGTCGGCGGGCAACCGACGAGGTGAAATCAATCAGCAGTGCTTATGTCTGAGAGTTATGTCGATCAATCAACACGAGCATGTGACTGTCCGAAGGTTGTCATGCGTTCGGATACCTATTGCCAAATGTTCAAAAGAGACCGAGACCGAGAAGCTTGCCAGGAAATCATGCAGATGTTCGCCACTTGCATCTACGGAATTGAACACTGTCCGAACTCGGCATCATGCTCCTGCGCTTCTCGAACAACTCACAAACAAGAGCACACATTGCACGTAATTCGCATTTTTGTCGAGAGTCCTCACCTCACAACCATTTAGTGGTTCGCCCGATCGCTGCAGACTGAGGCCCTCGCGGCTCCCTCCACACTGCACATCTTTCCCTGCCATAGGCTTACCTTTCTGGAAGCATTGGACGTGCCGGTCCTCCAAGCGCCGAAGCCCCTGCTGAACTTTCCTTCATATTCATATTGAAGCTGTTGTGATACTAGCGACAGACACTCGATCCAGCAGTTTTCGTGCACGCAATGTGCAATCGCACTGAAGATCACAACAGGCATACTTCCATGATCCTTGGCTGCAGTCGTTCTTTGCCACGAAATTACACGGCAAGTTCCTGCACGCGCGCCTCTCTGACCCTCGTCTACGTGCCGCATAAAGTCGCGGTGACCAGGACCGCCTGATCACGCACACACAGCAAGTCTGTGTACCTATCGAGTGACAACTGCAAGTGCAAACGCTGCGATTCTGTTTTCCAAAGACTAGAAAAATGCCTGAAGGAACGACACTCCTAGGCAGTGCATCTTTTAAGTTCCTCGCCAAGCAGTGCTATGCGATGCTTGCCAAAGAGAAAGCTCTGTGCACTTCGCCGGTGTTGAATGCAACAGACATCGAATGCCACCCCTCGAGGACGACCAAGCTGGCACCGTCCACGTGCCGCTCAGCGGCACATACTGGTTGAAGCACACCGGTCAGGACAGGCAAGCGTCTGATACCTCGAAAGAAAACACAGGACTAATTTCTTTCCTGACTCTGACCGGCGTCTTACTCCGAACATGCACCTCTCGCAGTCGATAACAGGTAACATACCGATTACACAGTACTGTCACGACACAGCAGATTCTCTCTGCATGGCTCACTCGTCGTCACAGACCTCCTGGTTCTCTTTCGAGGCCTCCGTGTCGTCGATTGGCTTTGCAGCCTCTTTGGAATGCGGATCCGCTGACTCGGCATCCTTCTTGTGCTTCTTGGTCTTTGTCTCCACTGCGTCAGCCGTGTCGGAGGAGGTAGCCTTCTTCGCCTTCTTGCCGAATTTCTTCTTGAGCTTAGGGTCGGTCGCTTCGCTTGTCTCTGAGGAGCTTACCTTCTTGGTCTTCTTCGGTTTCTTTCCGGATTTCTTGGGCTTGCCGGCCTTCTTGCTCTTTTTCTTCTTGGCATCCGAAGACGAAGACGCGGGATCGCCGTAGCGTCCCCAAGGATTCGCCCCGGAGCTGCTGTCCGCGTTGGATTCGGGCGAGGAGTCATCGCCGTGCCAAGCCTGCTGAACCTGCCAGGACTTCTCTACGTGCTTCCGCGCCTCGTAGGCCTTTTCCAAGAAATCGGCGGTGGACTGCAGGGTTGGTTTCTCCTTGCGCCAACGCTTCAACGCCTTCGAGCCTTCGGGCCAGTCCGGAACGATTGCCTGCCATCGCTGCAAAGCATCGGCGTGTACCACACCATCGAGAGTTTGCGCAGCTCCCCCGTAAAGCTTCGCGCACTCCGTCATGATCACCGGGAGGATCCGATGCAACGCCTTGGAGTTCTCCTTCAGAACCTTGAGGATTTCTGCGGCGCAAGCCTTGAAATCCTTGTGATGCTGCTTATAGCTCTCCCAGGCACACTTCTGTAGCGCCTGCTCCAACTTCTTTTTGGTTTAGTGTTAAAGATGTAGGGTTTGGGCTTTAGGGTTTAAGGTTTAGGGTTTAGGGGTTTAGGGTTTGGGATTTAAGGTTTAGGGTTAAGTGTTAAGAGTTAAGGGCTCAGGGTTAAGGGTTTAGGACTAAGGGTAAAGGGTTAAGGGTTAGGGGTTCCGGGTCTAGGGTTAAGGGTTTAGGGTTTAGGGTTCAGCAGCTCTGGTCGAGCAGTATCTAGTCAAGTTCGCTAGTAAGAACCTGGAAGAATACCCACCCACCCAAAGAATCCCAAAACATAAGAGTTAGAAAAATTTTTTCGTTACCCTCAGACGACATCAAACCTCAAACCCTACGCCTTGATTTCTAGCATATACTTATGTTTCTATTGCTGCAGTACAGAAAGAAGCATGACACATTTCAGGCCGGAAATGTGTCATTTTTCCGCCTTGCAGAGTGTCATCGTTTCCGCCTTACAGAAAGAAACATGACACATTTCAAGCCGGAAATGTGTCATCTTTTCCGCCTTACAGAAAAAGCATGACACATTTCAGGCCGGATATGTGTCATCTTTTTTGCCTTACAGAAAGAAGCATGACACACTAAAGCCCAAACCCTAGGCCCTAAACCCTAAAGCCCAAACCCTAGGCCTTAAACTTAAAGCCCAAACCCTAGGTCCTGAACCCTAAAGCCCAAACAAACCCTAGGCCTTAAACCCTAAAGGCCAAATCCTAGGCCCTAAACCCTAAAGCCCAAGCGCTAAACCCTAACCCTAAAGCCCTAGGCCCTAAACCCTAAAGCCCAAAACCCTAGGCCCTAAACTCTAAAGCCCAAACCCTAGGCCCTAAACCCTAAAGCCCAAGCGCTAAACCCTAACCCTAAAGCCCTAGGCCCTAAACCCTAAAGCCCAAAACCAAACCCTAGGCCCTAAACCCTAAAGGCCAAACCCTAGGCCCTAAACCCTAAAGCCCAAACCCTAGGCCCTAAACCCTAGAGCCCAAACCCTGGGGTCCTGACGAAAACCTGGTGCAACACTTGTGGGACGGGGGGTCCTGCCGAAAAATTGGCTCAACATTGGGGGGTCCTGCCGAAAAATTGGCTCAACATTGGGGGGTCCTGCCGAAAAATTGGCTCAACATTGGGGGGTCCTGCCGAAAAATTGGCTCAACATTGGGGGGTCCTGCCGAAAAACTGGCTCAACATTGGGGGGTCCTGCCGAAAAACTGGCTCAACATTGGGGGGTCATGCCGAAAAATTGGCTCAACATTGGGGGGTCCTGCCGAAAAATTGGCTCAACATTGGGGTCCTGCCGAAAAATTGGCTCAACATTGGGGGGTCCTGCCGAAAAATTGGCTCAACATTGGGGGGTCCTGCCGAAAAATTGGCTCAACATTGGGGGGTCCTGCCGAAAAATTGGCTCAACATTGGGGGGTCCTGCCGAAAAATTGGCTCAACATTGGGGGGTCCTGCCGAAAAATTGGCTCAACATTGGGGGGTCCTGCCGAAAAATTGGCTCAACATTGGGGGGTCCTGCCGAAAAATTGGCTCAACATTGGGGGGTCCTGCCGAAAAATTGGCTCAACATTGGGGGGTCCTGCCGAAAAATTGGCTCAACATTGGCTCAACATTGGGGGGTCCTGCCGAAAAATTGGCTCAACATTGGGGGGTCCTGCCGAAAAATTGGCTCAACATTGGGGGGTCCTGCCGAAAAATTGGCTCAACATTGGGGGGTCCGTGCCGAAAAAATGGCTCAACATTTAAATACTCATTTGAGAGAGAGGGTTAAGGGTTTAGGGTTTAGGGTTTAGGGCTTCGGGTTTAGGGTTTAAGGTTTAGGGTTTGGAGTTAAGGGTTAAGGGGTTTAGGGTTTAGGGGTTTAGGGTTTGGGGTTTAGGGTTTGGGGTTTAGGGTTTTAAGGTTTCGGGTGTGTTGCTTGGGTCATTTCAATTTACTTAAACCGTTCAGTTGCACTTAGAAAAAACTTGTCAATTTACTTAAACTGCCCTGTGGCCGACCGTTGCTTTCCTTAAATCCTGCCTTCCTTTTGCTCTTAAAACCACAACCTGCGCTGGCGCATCTTCGGCTTCTGGCCGTCTAAATTTAGGGTTTAGGGTTTAGGGTTTAGGGTTTAGGGTTTAGGGTTTAGGGTTTAGTTTAGGGTTTAGGGTTTAGGGTTTTTTTCCCACCCGCCCAGCTGACAAAGTCGCACCGCAGGGAGCTCGTCCGAATGTCTAGAAAGGAAAAAGGTGACCCATGTGCGCAAGCCCTGAGTTGAGCGAGAAGATTCCCCTTACTAAAAGTACGCACACTTCTCCAACAAAACAGCAGGACGCCATAGCTAGCCCCTATCCTCTCACTCAAGTCGAGCTCACCTCGCCCCTCAGACTAGCACCAGCCTGCACTTGTTCTACCCACACCAACAATATGATCGCAGGCAACGTGTGCTCATCTGAGTCCGGATTCCTCGTTCCGGTATGTACAACTACACCTAGAGCAGGCCCCAGGTTCTCAACAGATAGCACTATGAAAAGCCAACGCCAAGTGACAAACATAAAGGGTGCCGTCTGCCAAGAAGCCGAGCCCACATATCTACTCCCAGATCACAGGTAGCCCGTGTGGTAACCCCTAATAGATAAACCCCGGGACGGCGCTTGAGCTGCGGTCTGAGAGGCCAGAACTTTACAAGGGACTTGATTGAAGCCCCGAACTAGGCAGACAAAGGTCCTACTTGCATGCAATCTTCCTCGAAAACCGACTAACCAAAGCTAATCAAGAAACCCAGCAAGTACGCAATTTCGAAGGGATTGACTTCCAAATTAACTTGCACTTAATTATGCCTCTCAGCGTGCTTGGGTTTGCTGCAGTACTCTTTAGCCACAGGGTGCTGGGTGCGTCTCGGAAGCCGTCTGCGGAGCCATGTTCACGCATCGAGAGCACTTGGTTTATCGCTACTCTGGCGAGCACAGGACCCTTCAAGAATCCCACAAGGGGCACTCGTCTTGTAAGTTTGGAGAACGGAGGCCAAGTGTCAAAGCCACACATGATCTCAGGCCAGTCTGGCTACACTCAGAAGCCATGTCTTGATCTGAGCGGTCCAGTCGGTCCAGTTGGGAGATGTATCCATGCGCTCTGTGCTTTTTCGTAGTTGGCGGGGAAATCGCTTTCCAGTTAGCGGTGTGCAGTGTCTCTTCTCTGTCAGCTTGCACGGTGTTGACTATGTCCGGCGTGAGATTCGGCTGCAAAATGACTTGGTGGTATCACGAGCCTCGTCAGCCTGCGCCCGGCGCTTTGTAAGTCGAACTGAAAGCCATGCATCACTAAGCTGACGTAGTACGCTGCAGTGTGCAGCTGAACTGGAAGCTTGCAGAAAGTCGTGCACCACCAGACTGACATAGCACGTGAATGGCTGCAGATCGGAATCCCGGGCCCGCAGTGCCTCACAGCTGGCTTTCAGGTGTGTCTCTAGCTCATCCGGGGAGTGTCCGCATTGGTGCAGACTGTAGTGCCAGTTGCCAGAGTCGGAAGGCAGCAGGAAGCTCGCGTGAGCCATGGCTGGACTACCAACGACGGCTCACCGACTCTTGGAGGTGGAGAGAGAAGACGTGAGAAAGGTGGAGACGAGTAGACGACTTGAAGGAGAGGAGGGAGGAAGGCAAGACTCAGTGGACGACCTGGAGGAGGGGATTTTTTTTTTTTTTTTTTTTTTGGTTTTTTTTTTTTTTTGATGGGTCGATGCTAGGCAAAGAAACGAAACGGAATGATCGGTGATGTCATATATGATACGAGAGACGCAACGACGCGAGAGATGAATATAACGATTATTTCAATTAGGCTTGCGGGGAATTCGAAGGATACGAATTAGGCTTCTGCATGGAATTAGAAGACAACGATCAGCGTAGAGGGCCAAAACTAATTAAGGGTAGATTTTCGGGCTGTTGAATTCGGCTCATGCATGTAAATTCCGTGGGCCTGGATTTTTTTTTTTTTTTGCATGCAGACTTGAATTCAGGCGGTTACAGGGTCGACACGTGCAGGACAGGACATTGTTTTTTTTTTTTTTTTTGTTGGGGAGGTTGTCGGAGAGACAACGTCGGGCTGTGTCTAGACGGTTCAAACAGATCTTACACCCGTTCGAGGCCGCACTAAGTCCCTCTACCCCTAACTTAGAGGTCTGAGTCCTCCGATCCCTCGTCCTCGTCATCTGCCTCAGACAGAGACAAAGGAGAGTCCTGCGGGGCAAGGCTCGTGGGGGTCCTGGCTGCGGCTGCGGAGAAGGATGTTCGGAGGGCCTGTTGTCGGGAGATCTGGTGACCGTAAAAAGTTGTTAGGCTATAGCTGTCAAGTTGGGCGGGACTGCGGGGTGGTCTAAACCCAATCAGATGCAACGTAGTATTAAAATACACGTGGTTACTACTGGCTAGTTGAGGACACCAGGAAGTTAAGAGCTTTCGCTCCGGTCCCTCCCACTTTTCGGCCCCGTGTAGAAGAACCCTAGATGAGAACAAAATCGGGCAACGGTCAATCCGCTGAAAGAAGCCCCGCCTGCGGTCATTGGAGCCGTCAAGCCAGCCTTGTACATCGCCAGCCGGATGCTCTACCCACAAGCGTCCTCCTGTGAATTCGGTCAAGCCTAGGATAAGCGACGGCGCATATGAGTTGCGGTTGTCGCGGTGAATAGGCTTGCCTGGACCGGTTCTTATGGAGAGACAGGTGAAGGGAACAGCTTCGGGGTAACAGCTACGGGCAAACTTGACTACTGCTGCAGCGAAAGCCGGCTGTTCCTCAGTGAGGCGTGTTAGGGTGTTGGACTGCCGGGGGTGCTGTCCTAGGAGTATGTACTTATTGCGGCCTTCGTCGACATCCCAGTACCTGGCGGGGATGGCTTCTGAAAGAGCCGCGATGGCCTGGCACTGTTCTTCGAAACTCAGGGAGAGGACGTGCCTAAAAACAGTCTCTGCTTGCTCGGTTAGCGAGGGAGGTTCCTCTTTGCGGGGTGCCGCCACCTGTTGTGCGGGGGCTTCGCGTTCTTCGGACATGATGCTGAAAGAGGAAACTGACAGAAGAGCTGGAGCCGACGTTGCTGTGGGGCGGGGGATTTTAGGTTCATAGGAGTGCAATGATGACGACAATATGTGCAGTACACAATGTTCGCAAGGGCTACCATGTCTGTGGCTCATAATGGCAAACGCACTCGGTACTCAAGCAGCTTCTTTTCCGGGCCGGGGTGCATCCTCAACGGCTGCTTGCAGAATTACGAATTACAAATTAAAGAATTACAAATTATGGGACGGCATGCAAGAGTACCTAGTGCTTTGTTGTCACAACGGGCAATGGGGTGCAGTGCGAAAAGGAAAAACAGAGCTGAAAGGATCATTAAACATATCCAGTACTATTACCCCATCATACCGAAGGACTGCGCCAAGTAGGAAAGAGCTTCCCTGGCTCGGGGATCCCCCTGGAGTGCAGCCTGAGCGTTTCCCCACTGGAATGGGGGAGCTGGCATGCCCTGTGGGAGACTGGAAAACAGTGAGACCGGCTGCCTAATCGGTAGGGACTCCTGAATTCTCAGGACTGGGACTGGGACCTGGTCCGAGCCGACATTGCCTGGGCTCACTGTAGGAGGCGGCGGCGATGAGCTCGGTGTCGCAGCATTGCAGGGTGCTGGAGCTTTGCCCCCAGGAGTGTCGTCCGGTGTCGACGAAGGTGGTGATGGCGGCGGCGCCTTCTGCTGAGGCGGAGTCAATCTGCTAATGACTCGTTCCAGCTGGGTCTGCAGGGTTGTTAGTCCCTTGAGGGCCTTCTCCATTGCAGTGCTGAGCTCATCCAGGGCTTCGCTTTGGTGCTTAAGATGCCCCTGGTTCGTCCAAACCGTTTGGTTGGCCAAGTCCAGGTTCTGCTCGACGTTTCGTAGTGTCTGAGCTCCGGCCACATGTTGTAGAGGTGGAACTACTTCACCACGCAGGCTATTCAGCATAGCCTGCGTCTGTTTGACGGCTGTCAAGGTACTCTGGTGTTGGGCGGCATCGTTGATGCGGGCATCCCGTAGGGCTCCGAGACACTCACCCACCGTCGATTGGATCTCTTTGGCCACAGTGTCAATGGTCGTGACTGTGGCACTCACCGTTGTGAGCTTCTCGTCAAGTTGGAGATCCGTCTGGGCCGTGAGCTCCACTTGAACTCCTGTAAGGAGGGAGATCATAGAGTCAAGTCGACTCTGGATCTCAGAGCCAATCCAGCTCTGGAGGGAGGTCTGGCTGAGGTCCGTGATTTCCTGCATGCTGCTCTTGGTCTGTTTATGCAGCAAGGCACGGGTTTCGTCCAAAGGCGTGCGGAAGTCCGGCGGAGTTTTCTGGCCAAGACGAGTCTCCATGTCCGTCATTGCCTGCATCAGCTCTTTGCGGAGACCATCCATGTTGGACTCCACTGTAGCCATGCTGTTCTTCTCGACATTGGTCAGAGCGCGTTCCACGACTCCATCCAGCTGAGGTTGGATCCGATCGAATTCGATTGCAAGTGAATTCTGAAAAGTCTGCAGCGAGTTTGCCAGGAGCTGTTGGAGCCATTGGCGAACCGCCCACATGGCCAGGACTATAGTGAGCCCCAGACCAGCATAGAGCGGGACATAGTGCAGCAGGCTATGCCAAAAGGGAACCGACAGCTGGATCGCGAAGTCACCGATCTGCGTTTCCTGCATAGTAGCCGGCGCCATGTCGAAAGAGTATGGAAGGAGTATGAAAGTGCTATGGGCAGGATGAGCCACTACAGCTATGGTGGCGCGCGAGATCCTGGTGTCAAAGCAAGCTGGATTGCACAGGAGACCCTGGTGTCAAAGCAAGCTGGACTGCACATGACTGTCAAAGGCATCCACTCTCAAGCCATCACTGCAACGCTGCATGTGCACAAAGGTACTGGCTTCAGTCTCATGACATGTAGAGAGTGAGGCAGCAAATACATCGCTATATGTGCAAACATGGAGCAACTTTTTGGTCTCGCGGGAGTGCAGGATATGGAGTTGCAGTGGAGCAAGCGGGCAGCAACCACTGTGTAATTATCAATTACAGTGCAATGATGAATTAAAACTTGCGAAACGATGTCGACCAATTACGGACATGCAATTCAGATATCAGCATTCAGGTCGCACCGAGAGCGAAGTGCCGTCATCAAGGGTAACCCAGTGTTCGCCAGATGTTCCGTCTTGTACCGCTTCGCGTGCGGGGTCGTAGGTGTCGTAGGTGTCGACGGCGGGCGGCGGTGGTGGTGGACTCGAGGTACCCATTGGCATGCTGGAAGAGGCTGTCGTAGCCGTGTCATGTCGAATCAGTAGGTCGAGCTGTCTCTGCAGTGGGCCCACCGTTTCCTGTAGGTAGACCTGCAGTTGGGAGTAGTCAGCATGGGCTCCGATCAGGCCTTGGGTGCGCCTGACTTCGGCCCCGAGCTTGAACTCCAAGTCGTCAAGGATGCGGTGGTTCTGATTCAGAACCGCCACCACAGCTTTATGGAGATCCGTCCCCATAGTTTGTGCCTTGACTGCCCGTTTCTCGGATTTGTCCAGCAGCTCATGCACGATGTACTTGAGTCGATCCAGAGCCGCAATCATCTGGGACGTGTGAGTGGCGAAGACTCTCTCCTCCTGGGTGAAGATGTCCTCTAGCACGTTGAAAACTTCCGTGACCGAGTCCTGGAGCTTATCCCCGACAGGGTGCAAGTCGACGACCGCCTGGATGAGCTTGTCAAGAACCTTCTCATACCTGACGAACCTTTTGTCAGCATCGGCCTGAACTCGCAGTACCAGGGCCTGCGTGTCTCGTGCCTGTTTCCAGAGTTTGATATAGGCTTTATCGATTTCGAGCTTCACACTCTCTGGGAAGACCGCGGGTCCTTCTTGTAGGAGAACTGGCGTGGCAAAGGCCTCCATCTTCAGCTGGACAACGTGCAGGGCATGCAGAATGTCTTTGAATTGGCCATGCAGTTTTCGGACCATGAGTCCGAGTGCACTCAAGCTCAACAGTGCCAGGAGCATCGCGAGAGCTGTCCACGGATAGGCCTGAGCAGCCCTCCAAAGGGAGCCCTCAGGGGCCTCAGAACTTCGCGGGATCGTGAAGGAGTCCTTGAGAGGAAGATCAGCAGGGCACTGCGCCATGTTTTCTTGGCGTCCTGCCCCCCCCCCCCTGTTAATGAAGGAACTTGAGAGGACATCGACGGCACCAAGACGCACGTAGAGACGGCTTCACAAGCAGGCGGAATGACTACCAAATGCAATTCAGCAACCAAAGGCAAAAATAAACCCAACGACCTGCCGAGATTACCGAGTGAAAGACTCCAAACCAATGAAATCCGAAATCCCTTAAAGCAAGCTGACTGAATTCCCTGGCAACATGCGTTTGAATTAGATACGAGGAAGTTCGAGCTCTAAGTTAACCCGAAAAAGCAGAGAAGCAAACACACAATCAGAACATGCAAGCCCACAATCATGCCATGTTTCATGCATTCGACATGCAACATGCAAACCCGAACAAACTGAAATGTATTCGACATGCAACGTGCAATCTTTAGCAGCAGTGAAGCCGCAGGGCCAAGGGAGGTCCTCAAATCTGAAACCGACTTGAATCTGAAGTCAACTACCACCAAGCTTTCAAGGACAGTGCGGGGGTTTGCGCCTCCGTGAACTTTGACAGGCCGTAGTCCCAGGACCGATAGACAATCCTGCTGTGCATGAGCCTCACTGCATGCTTGGCTGTGGCATCGGCGAGTTCGTTCAGGGGGTCACCTTGGTGGGCCCGCACATGGGCAATTTGGATGCTGTCCTGTAAGAATGACCACTCCTTCTTGAGCAGACACACTTCTGCCAAATTGGCAGTGGTGATGATGGCATCTGAAAGGATTTGGAGGACATGAAAGGAGTCGCATTGGAACTCGATCCGGTGGCCTGGGAAGTCAGCAAGTAGTCGTCGACAGAGTTTGAGGGCATATGTAGCCCCGACGAGTTCGGCTCTGATGTTGGTGCACCGTCCGGAAATTGGCACTGCTATTAGGACGACATCATCAGGGAGCCGCCCGTAGGGGGGTAGGACCGAGATACCGGCCCCGCCTTTGTACTCTTTCGAGCTACCATCCGATGATACGCGAATACATGCCTGGGCTTCGTCAAGTTTCGGGGATGTAACCAAAGTGTAAGACGATTCGTATGGCTGCTCGACTGGGGGGTGGCGGTAAGGCAGCAACCAAAACCTATCGCCTACCTGAAGAAGAGAACGACCAAGCAGCTCCACCCGAGTAAGATCGGGAAAGTAGCCGGTGCTGTGCTCAAAGTGATGTCCTATCCAATCGGCGATGAAGGACTTCCAGAGCTCACGGTCCTGCGCTTGCGTCAGCCAGTTGCCTAAGTGCCCGGCATCTTGCCAGGCAAGCTGGATCCATCGCACAGAATCCGGCCAGTAGCCTGGAGCTCTTTTGGCCTGGGGGTTACTTTCTAACCAATCGTGATCGCGAAAGGAAATCATTTTTTGGATGGGGCGCCAATCGAAATCGCAGTAGCGTGCGGCGTGCCCCCAATACCGAAAGAAACAGTTGGCCTGCCCCACTGCCCATCTAACATGTCCACATGCTTGCAAAGCCATACGGGCTGCTCTTCTGCGACACACCCAATTGTGAAGCTGTGGCTGCAACGGGTCGTAGGCTGGCCTCAGCATCGATGCAACCAAACTAGTTTGGAGGATGTCTAGGAGCCGGCGTACCTCAGTTGTGGGGCGGACGGCCGCAGCCATCCACTTCCACTTGTTGGTGACGTAAGCATCAAATAGGTGAAGTCGCTTCTGTAGCGCAGCAGAACCCCTACACAAAAAGGCACTGTGACCCCAGAAGGCTCCCGTCGCTCCCGCCAGGCGCTTGGCGAGAGTTGTAGAGCAGGAGAGACCGAAGCCGACCAGAACCCCCAGATACACAAAAGCATCAGTGTGTTTAATTGCGAGCTGGGGAGGGACTCCTGAAAGCTGTAAGGGGGCCGTGTCCAGGCCTGGGCTACACAAGAACTGGCATTTCTCCAAGGCCAGCTGTAACCCCATTGCCGACAAAACCTCCTTGATCTCTCGCAGCATATCGAGCGCCTGCTCTCGTGAGGCAGCCAGTAGCACAATGTCATCTGCAAACAGAATCGCGTGCAGCATGTATCCCGAATGGTGGCGCAACCAGGTAGGGTACTTCGTGCGCCACTTATGCAGTAGGGGCGACACGAAATGGTCTAAGACTCGGGCAAATAGTTCTGCTGAATAAGCGGACCCCTGTTTCAGGCCGCGAAACAATTCCTGCGTCCATTCTACTGAGCCGATCGAAAGACTTGCACGTGAATTACAAATTATCTCCAGAAGGAGAGCCGCCTCTCGTGCCGGGCCTAGAGTCGACAAAAACCTAGCAACGGCCGTATGAGACAATGTATCAAACGCTTGCGAAATATCTAATTTGATTGCAAAGAGCGGGAGCTTCCATTGCTGCGAGGCCCTGATGGCGTGTTGCAAACAGAGAGAACCGTCTAAACTCTGGGCTCCCGGCGATCCTGATAACTGACAAGTTTTCATAGGAGCAAACAGCTTTCTCAACCGCATTAAAAGGAGTTTAGTGAACAGCTTCGCGGGAGTGGACGAGAGAACGATCGGTCGCAGGTCCTTGGGACGTGAAGGCTTTTTCTGTTTAGGAAGGAAGACGACCTGTGATTTCAACCACGAACTGGGAACAGGGATGGTTCCATGCAGGACTGAATTAAACAATTGCACAAAGGACTTCTCAAGTGGTGATTGCATGATGGAAAAAATGAGTTCATATGGTATACCATCGGCCCCGGTACTTTTGCCAGGTTTAGTGGTCAGGAGCGTGTTGTGAATCTCCTCAGCTGTCACGGGATCCGCGTTCCCGGATGGCCCCGTTGCCGCCTGATACAATTCGATCGGCAGTGATCGGGGTGTAGGGTCCTCCGGGGTGTACTTGTGCTGATAGAAACTACGCAGGTCCGAAGCAGCCTTCGACTGCCCGCCAGCTCGCATGATGTAGCTCCCCTGCGTGCTCTTTGTACTTTGTCTCCGCTTAAAGAATGAAATGGCATGGAAGTCTCCAGCAGCCCCCCGCTCCAGAAGTTGGGTCATCCAAGCACGTTTAGCATTACATCTAGCTGTGACAATGCGGTGAGCCATGGCCCTGGCCTCGGCCCCGGAAAGGTGCCGCCTCTGTCGTATCATGGCTTTAATCTCAGGCCCGTCCCTGTATCGTAAGGAGCCCGGTCGACTACATGTATATCGAGCAAGATCCTCCAGGGCATGTATGCCCAGCGGTTGTTGGACAACGTCCAACTGCTCCTGAAGCGCTTCGCAAGCAGCAGGAGCCCCCTGCAGATCGACTCGCCATTTACCACATCGGTTTTTTTTGGTGGAGTATTGGTGGGGCCTGCTGAAAGGGGCTTTGGAAGACTCCTGGGTAGCAGCATCACAGCAGCAGTGGTCAGAGCCTACTAGCAGATCAGAACCAACCCGAACTTCTGAACTGAGCAGATGTGCCAAGCCATCCGAAAAGCTGACATAGTCAATGCGCGACGAGGCCCCTCTCGTGTTGGACCAGGTGGGAAACTGCGGGTAGGTCCTCCCAAGGCCGTATTCCGCAAGGAGGCCTTCAAAAAGTACTCTGCGGTCGTCATTATCTGTAGCCTGAAGAGACATCAGATCAAGGTTAAGGTCTGCCAAGATCAAAACCTTGTCCGAGTAACGGAGGCTACCCAAGATGCTCCTGAGCTCATCCAACTGCTCAACCCAAACCTGTGCACAATCTCGTCGTTGACGATGAGGCATATGCAAACTAATTATGAAATGCTTGCAACCCGAATTCCGAATTTCCAAAGCCAAACCTGTCAAAAGAGGAATGACACGGACAACATGCGGCAAGGCATCCAGAGGAACCCCAATTACAGTGCCATGAAAACTCTTGGGTGGGAAGGCGGAAAAAGTGGCATAAGCTGAAGCGCCCAGAAAGGTTTCGTCTTGATCCCAGCCCTTCTGAGCAAGTTCCTTCAACCCGCCAACCTCTTGAAATGCGAAAAAGTCAACTCCCTCACCACCCACCAAATCCCAGCACCTGGCCACGTCCTCGAGGGTTTTGCCACGAAGATTCCAGGTTCTGGAATATGTCACTCTGGCGTGGCAGGGTCTGCCTCCCTAGGAGGGCCGGCTGGTAACCCGGTTCTCCCAGAGGGTCTGGAGGTCCTCGGCTTTGCATCCTGTGGCCAGCTGAAACTTATCCCCTCGAATGAACCAACCTGAGTGGTTACCTTTGGGGTCGGCGAGAAGGAGATCATGCTCGGCGACCTGGTCTGCTTGTTCGGGGGGCCCTAAGATGTTGATGTTGCCTACAAACAACTTCCCCCGCCAATCCAGTTCGGCGGGTTGTTTCTTCTTTCCCTCAGCAAAAGTCAGTTGTTCGATGAATTCTTTGACACTCACCACAGCTCTGATCTTCGACCTTTCTTCTGGAGTGCGATGTCTGTTAACCCAGATCTCCATGCATTCCTGACCCGGCACGCTACTCAAGTATTTCTTCTTCTTGAGGGCCTCTAGAACCTCTGTTTGGAAGGCTCGCTGTTGCGGAATTGTTTTGTGCGTGTCGGGAAAGCGGAGCGAGACTCGAACATGGGAGGTTCTCGTATAGGGGCTCCAGATGTCCGCCCAGGCATGATCCATCTTGGCAGCTTCAAACATGGCTTTGGCTTCTTCGATCGCATCATCTCTTTTGCAGTCGGCCCACCCTCCAATGGCCAACTGCAGCTCCTCATCAATGTTGCGCTCGCGTTGGGGAGTGATACTCCCTTGCCGGGGCGAGCGAGGCGGAGTGAGGGGCCCCCTCGTGGGCGTGGGAGATCGGGAGGCACTATTCCGTAAGTCCCTGACCTCTCTCTCAAGAGCGGCAATCCTAAGACTGTGGGCATCAGTTCTTTCTGTGTGCTCTTTGAGAACTGCGTCATGGCCATCCAGTCGGACGGCATGTTCCTTGAACTCACTCGAGATGTGCACGAGTTCCCTATGCATGTCAACATTGCGTACATTAATTTCGGACACATCTGTTTTCAGAGGTTCGAGGTGTGCCAGAATACGCCCTTCCAAAGCTCCTACCCAAGGTGGTGTGTCGTTTCCGAAAGTCGACCTGTCCCCCCGTCGGTGTCTGTTCGTGGGAACAGAGGCCCCTCGAAGCTCGTCATCGCCGGGGTCCTCTTTCTTGGCCTCTACCTCCAGGTCGTAATACTCCGTGCTACGACGTGGTTTACTCTCACCTCCGAATTCAGGGGCATCGATCCTTGCAATTTTGGGAGGAGGGGGTTTCCTCGCCACATCACTTCCTGAGCTCTCCTTCCCTCCGTCTCTGTCCCTGTCCGTCTTTCGCGACATCAGTGACTCAAGTACCCCCGTGTGATGTGCATGTACCCTCGGGGCCTTGTCCACGTCCATGTTCACCGTCGCGGGTCCTGGAATATGTTCTTGCGAGTCCTGCGAACTCTCCGGTGGATCCTTTGGAGAGTTGCGACGGCGAGGGGGAATTGGGACAGGAACTTTGGGTTCAAGCGGTATGTCTCCTACACCCCCCGTAGGTTCGTCCTCGCTCAGGCTGTCGTCTACTTCAATGCTATCTTCCTGAGTACCATGTGGCAAAGGGGGAAGCTCAGGCGACCCCTCTGCGTGCGCGAGCCCCATGCCAAAAGGAACTGTTGTGGCTTGCGAAGCAGTGGGAGCTGCCCCATGTCCGGAAATCATCTATCTCAGCCTTCTTGCAAGCCCCAGAGAGACTGAAGCAGAGCCGAGAGGGGACCAGACAGAGAAGAGGAGATAGGACACTCGGAAACGGTCTCGAGCCGAAATCTTGAGCCAAAATGGCTATCTTGAGCCAAAATGGCTTGAGCCATTTTTAGGGTTTAGGGTTTAGGGTTTAGGGGCTTAGGGTTTAGGGTTTATAGAAGGTGTGTAGGGTTTGGATCCGGAGTTTTGGCGGGTTTCGGGCGGGTTTCGAGCGGGTTTCGAGCGCGTTTCGAGCGGGTTTTGTCAGGGTTTTTGCTTTTGCTTTTTTGTGCAGGTGGCTTTGTTTTCTGCTGCCTCGAGCCCTGCCCTGCCCCTGCTGCGCCCTGCTGTGCCCACCAAGGTTTAGGTTCGAGATTCCTTTCTGGGAAAGTCGAGGGTTCGAGATTCCTTTCTGTGAAGATCGGAGGTTCGAGATTCCTTTCTAGGAAGGTCGGAGGTTCGAGATTCCTTTCTGGGAAGGTCGGGGGTTCGAGATTCCATTCCGGGAAGGTCGGGTGTTCGAGAGTCCTTTCTGGGAAGGTCGGAGGTTCGAGAGTTCTAAATTTGCAATGAAAATACATTTTTCACAACATGCTTATTGCTATTGTCACGACCCTGCCATCCGAACCGTCCAACACACACCTTCTATTTATCATTTGCTTGAGGGTTTAGGGTTTAGGGTTTAGGGTTTAGGGTTTAGGGTTAAGGGTTTAGGGTTTAGGGTTTATAGAAGGTGTGTAGGGTTTGGGTCCGGAGTTTTGGCGGGTTTTGGCGGGTTTTGACAGGGTTTTTGCTTTTGCTTTTTTGTGCAGGTGGCTTTGTTTTTTGCTGCCTCGAGCCCTGCCCTGCCCCTGCTTTCCGGTTTTGCGGAACAACAAATTTGCAATGAAAAGACATTTTTCACAACATGCTTATTGCTATTGTCAGGACCCTGCCATCCGAACCGTCCAACACACACCTTCTATTTATCATTTGCTTGAGGGTTTAGGGTTTAGGGTTTAGGGTTTAGGGTTTAGGGTCAAGGGTTTAGGGTTTAGGGTTCAGGGTTTAGGGTTTAGGGTTTGGGGTTTAGGGTTTAAGGTTTCGGGTGTGTTGCTTGGGTCATTTCAATTTACTTAAACCGTTCAGTTGCACTTAGAAAAAACTTGTCAATTTACTTAAACTGCCCTGTGGTCGACCGTTGCTTTCCTTAAATCCTGCCTTCCTTTTGCTCTTAAAACCACAACCTGCGCTGGCGCATCTTCGGCTTCTGGCCGTCTAAATTTAGGGTTTAGGGTTTAGGGTTTAGGGTTTAGTTTAGGGTTTAGGGTTTAGGGTTTAGGGTTTAGGGGGGGCTTAGGGTTTAGGGTTTATAGAAGGTGTGTAGGGTTTGGGTCCGGAGTTTTGGCGGGTTTCGAGCGGGTTTCGAGCGGGTTTCGAGCGGGTTTTGTCAGGGTTTTTGCTTTTGCTGTTTTGTGCAGGTGGCTTTGTTTTCTGCTGCCTCGAGCCCTGCCCTGCCCCTGCTGTGCCCTGCTGTGCCCACCAAGGTTTAGGTTCGAGATTCCTTTCTGGGAAAGTCGAGGGTTCGAGATTCCTTTCTGTGAAGATCGGAGGTTCGAGATTCCTTTCTAGGAAGGTCGGAGGTTCGAGATTCCTTTCTGGGAAGGTCGGGGGTTCGAGATTCCATTCCGGGAAGGTCGGGTGTTCGAGAGTCCTTTCTGGGAAGGTCGGAGATTCGAGATTCCTAAATTTGCAATGAAAATACATTTTTCACAACATGCTTATTGCTATTGTCACGACCCTGCCATCCGAACCGTCCAACACACACCTTCTATTTATCATTTGCTTGAGGGTTTAGGGTTTAGGGTTCAGGGTTTAGGGTTTAGGGTTAAGGGTTTAGGGTTTAGGGTTTAGGGTTTAGGGTTTAGGGTTAAGTTTAGGGTTTAGGGTTTAGGGTTAAGGGTTTAGGGTTGAGGGTTTAGGGTTTCGCCCTTTTTCATGGAAGTTGTTTGGTTTCCGGGGACGGGTGAGCCGTCAGTGCTTGTGCGAATCTTGCGGCGGGCGGCGTGCTTGCAGCGAAGGCTGCTCTTCGGCCGGCTTATGGCGGCCCGGTTCTTTCTTCCCACCCCGCGCCGTTCATGAGGCGGCGCAACCACCCAAACCTACTCCTTTTAGGGTTTAGGGCCTGAACTTATTTCTGTTTGTATGCATCTTTCAAAAAGGATTCTCTTATATTTCCGAAATTGAGTGGGCATAGAACATTTCCAAAGCCCCTCCGATTATCAGGAATTTCCGGCTTCCAAGGCCCGAAATGGTGGAAATCCCACAAAAGCATCAAAACCATCGATTTTTCAGTACCCGCTCCTTTTCCGGAGATCATTTCCAAGGCCCCTCGGATTTCTTGGATTTCAAGCTTCCAAAGCCGCCGAAAAGGGTGGACACCCACAAAAGCACCAAAATCGTCGATTTTGCAGTGCCCGCTCCTTTTCCCGAGGCCATTTCCAAGGCCCCTCGGTTTTTCACGGATTTCCCAAGGCTGCCGAAATGGGGGGAACCCCACAAAACCACCAAAATCGTCGATTTTGCAGTACGTGCTCCTTTTCCGGAAGCTATTTCCAAGGCCCCTCGGATTTTCAAGGATTTCCTGCTTCCAAGGCTGCCGAAATGGGGGAAACACCACAAAAGCACCAAAATCGTCGATTTTGCAATATGTGCTCCTTTTCCGGTGGCCATTTCCAAGGCCCTTCGGATTTTCAGGGATTTCCGGCTTCCAAGGCCGCCGAAAAGGGGGAAACTCCACAAAAAAGCACCAACATCGTCGATTTTGCAGTACCCGCTCCTTTTCCGGAGGCCATTTCCAAGGCCCCTCGGATTTTCAAGGATTTACGGCTTCCAAGGCTGCCGAAATGGGAGAAAACGTCACAAAAGCACCAAAATCGTCGATTTTGCAGTATCCCTTCCTTTCCGGAGCCCATTTCCAAGGCCCTTGGGATTTTGAGGGAATTTCCGGAATAGGAGGAAAACACCACAAGAACTCCAAAATCGTCGATTTTGCAGCACCCCTTCCTTTTCCGGACACCTTTTCCAAGGCCCCTTGGATTTTTAGAGAATTTCCGTTTGCCAAAGCCCGAAATGGAGAAACACCACAAAAGCACCAAAATCGCTGATTTTGCAGTACCGCTTCCTTTTCCGGAAACCATTTCCAAGGATCCGTGGGATTTTTAAAGAATTTCCGACTTCCAAGGCCCGAAATGTGGAAAACCTCACAAAAGCACCAAAATCGTCGATTTTGCAGTATCCCTTCCTTTTCCGGAGCCCATTTCCAAGGTCCCTTGGGATTTTGAGGGAATTTCTGAATTCCAAGACCCGAAATAAGAGGAAAACACCACAAAAGCTCCAAAATCGTTGATTTTGCAGCACCCCTTTCCTTCCGGAGACCTTTTCCAAAGTCCCTTGGGATTTTTAGAGAATTTGCGGCTGCCAAAGCCCGAAATGGGGAAAACACCACAAAAGCACCGAAATCGTCGATTTTGCAGCACCGCTTCCTTTTCCGGAGGCCATTTCAAAGGCCCCGTGGGATTTTTAGTGAATTTCCGGCTTCCAAGGCCGGAAATGGTGAAAACCCCACAAAAGCACCAAAATCGTCGATTTTGCAGTACCCGTTCCTTTTCCGGAGCCCATTTCCAAGGTCCCTTGGGATTTTGAGGGAATTTCCGGCTTCCAAAGAAACCATTTCCAAGACCTCTTGGGATAATGAGGAGATTTCCGGCTTCCAAGGCCCGAAATAGGAGAAAAGCCCACAAAAGCACCAGATTCATCGATTTTGCAGTACGCCTCCCTTTTCCGGAAGCCATTTCCAAGGTCCCCTGCGATTTTGAGGGAATGTCTGGCTTCCAAGGGCCGAAATAGAGGGAAAACCCCACAAAAGCAGCAAAATCATCGATTTTGCAGTACCCCTTCCTTTTCCGGAAACCATTCCCAAGGCCCCTTGAGATTTTCAATGCAATTTCCGGCTTCCAAGGCCCGAAATAGGCAGAAACCCTCACAAAAGCACCAAAATCATGGATTTTGCAGTACCCATTCCTTTTCCGGAGACCATTTCCAAGCTCCCCGGTGATTTTCAGTGTATTTCCGGTTTCCAACGCCACCGGAAGGGAGGAAACCTTTCACAAAAGCATCAAAATCGTCGAGTTTGCAATCCAAGCTCCTTTTCCGGAAACCACGTTCAAGGCCCCTTAGGATTTTTAAAGAATTCCCGACTTCCAAGGCCCGAAATAGAGAAAACCACACAAAAGCATCCAAAATCTTCATTTTTGACAGTCATTTCAGACTCGAAACGATTCTGGGCTTGCTGACCGGGGGGGGGGGGGGGGGGGGGGGGGGGGGGGGGGGGGGGGGGGGGGGGGGGGGGGGGGGGGGGGGGGGGAGCGGAGCTGTTTAGAGTCCCACATGGGGTCAATCGTTTTGGTAAAAATTGAAAATTGGGCGGGGTTAGGGGCTTAGGGGCTTATTCCCTGAACTCCCTGAAAGACCCTCAAGCAAACATGTTCGAAGAGCTTGTTCACGATGTCCCGCCGTGGCAGTCACTGGATTGGCTGTTTTCCAGTCAGCCTCCACTTGCTCGGTGATCGGGGCCGGAATGATGGCGCTCCCGAAGTCGGACACACCGAAAGTGTCGATTTCAGGCGTTGATCGGAGCTTCTGCAGGAGATGCGTTACACCTGCGCTCGCGATCTGCCTCGTAGAAATTGCTGGCGAGAAAGTTCCGTTCGCCAGTACGGCTGGGCCGTAGAGCTTGCGATCCTGTGCAAGTACAGTCGACAGACTGGTGATGCTGAGAGTCTAGCGACTCATTTACGGAAAAACGCATTGTGTGTACACGCGGGGTCGGTTTTTGGAGGCTCGGCTGTGGTTCAGTCTCAGTAGTATTAATATTGTAA